TGGAGTGCGGCTCGCGGCGGCGGCGGGGCGAGCTGTGTGCGCGCTGCGGCCGCGAGCCGCCGCGCGCCGAGCCTGACTCGAGCTCCGACCGCGGCACGCTGGAACGGCCGCGTGCGCGCCAGCTGGAGCGGGAGCGCGACTACCGGCCCGTGCTGTGGTCCTGCACCGAGGACTGGGAGCGCAACTACTGCGTGCTGGGCGTGGCCGAGTGGGACCTGGAGCGGCGCCGGCCGCGCCGCCGCCCCCTCGACTGGCTCGGGGACCGGCGCCTCGGTGACAAGCCGAAGGGGGGAGCGGCCGTGGCTCGGGCGGGCGAGGCGGTGAGCCAGGCCGAGCGGGAGACGCCGCCGCGGGGACAGGACCCGCCGGTGGAGGTCCCGCCGGTGAAGAACCGGCCGGTGGAGGTCCCGCCGGTGAAGGACCCGCCGGTGCAGAAGGCGGCAGGGCTACAGCTAAGCAACGGCGACCCAGACGTACGTAAACGAGCCGCTGCCGTCGGTTGGCAGGCTGTGTGTGTGTGTGTGTGTGCATCTACTCCGCTGAGCTGACGCTACTGGTGTGGGGTGGAGGTGAACGGTCGCTGATGGCCTCTGACGTCATGCGGTGACGGTCACGTCCGGTCGACGTTGGCTGATTGGGAGAGATGGGTGATGATTCGTGACGGCACATTTACAACCGGCCACTGTGGCAAGCGTTGCTGGGTTAGCTTCCTGTCGTGAGAGGCAGACAGGGCCATGGGCGAACACTATCCTGTCGTAGGCTTCATGCCTCCTCCCTACCTCCCCCTTCCCGGTTATCGATCACGCAACTATCCGCGAAAGGCGCACATCGCTCTGAACGCGATGTGCAGGCCTTGAGCGATAAAGCTGTTAGCGTGCATTGCGCCGGAGTCGTGCGATCGGACGCTGCTGGCTTCAGTGTTGGTGCCATTCCGCAGGCATTTGAGTGCCCGCTTGCCCTTGATACGTGCACGTTTCATGCGTTCATGTTTTCCTTCCGCTGGAACGACCAGACTTCTGAAGCCGGCTCATCAGAAATTCCTCTTTAATGTTTGATAATGTGAAGATTTGCGAAGCAATGGCCTGCTTGGAACATGAAAGGGCTTCATTACACGGCTGGCCTGCACGGCTCACGTAATTGCACGGATTAATCACGGCGTTCCGTGTCGCGCGGTAATCTCTCGTCTGGGCGGCCTGAGACCCCAGCGACCTTGCGGCGCAGACCGCACGGCCCGTTGAGCACGGGAACAACGTCGCCCGTCCTCTTGTTCCGGAGAACCGGCCCGGAACGCCTGCATTCACGTCAGCTGATCGCTCACGCGTGTCCATTAGCCGCGTCTCTGCCTCCGTCCCAAGGCCGTCCTGCGTCTCTGCGGAGGACCGTGGCGTCGGGCTCCAGCCACGCCCTCACTGCGCCGGGGTGCAGGACGCGGCCGGACGGCCTGGCCTGGCAGGTCACGGTGAAGCGGACCCGGCAGCGGCAGGGTCGACTGCCGGACGGGCGCCGTCGACTGACCGCGGGCCGTAGCGAAGCAGCCGCAGTAATAATGACTGCGCCCTGGCCGTGCGCTGAATGTGGAGCTACCGGCGCATGCGGTTTCATTGCAGCAGTTGATTTA